GCTGCCAGGGATGGAGCATTTATCACTTCTTCGGGCAACCTGATCCACTCCTGCTTTCTTCCAGGAACAATGGGACAGATCACTGTCACACAGCAAGACAGAGAAGTCACAGTAAAGGAGAGAGACACCTTCCAGACCACCTGCACCTACCAGAGTAGTAACTTTTATGGCTTTGTTTTGGAGCCAGCCAAAAAGCTAATCTCCTATCAGGCAGCTGCTGGCCGCAAGCAGAGTGGCCGTTTCACCACGCTGCTGAACACCACCGGGAAATACAGCCTCCTGCAGCTGCCGGGGGTCGAGCTCTCCGACAGTGCCTTGTACCTCTGTGCTGGGCAAGACACCCTGGTGCAGGGAGCTGCCTCGGCTGTGCAATAACACAGGAAGGGAGGGTCTCTCAGCTCTCTGTTGCCAGCACTGCTTCCCCTGTGCTCCCGCAGCTCTGCATGGCAAGATCCTCTTTCTGACAGGGGCCAGGCTCAGTGGCTCTGGACATGGCTGAGCCCGACCACGAGGCAGAGCCTGCTGGGACCCAGCGTGCTAGAGGCTTGCTCTCAGCCCTGTACAACCAGTGGCAGTAAATTCCAGGGAGCCCAGGACTCATTAGGTACCTCATTAGGTACATCAAGTATCAAGTAGACCTATAAGGAGGTCCTGAGAGCACATTTGGATTGAGACCTATGGGATTCTTTGCTCTCTTCAATCAGTAAATAAACAAACAGGATTTGAGTCAAGCCATCAGGTTATGTCCAGATGTTCACTCAGTTCAAGTGCAAAGGTTGTGCCTGAGGGGCAGAGCAAACCACACAAAACAGCCCCAATTGCAAAGACCCAAGGACTCTCCATGTTTGAAACCAATAAGCAAAGACACCAATATACAAATGAACCTTACAACCAATTCCCTGGGCTCCTGATGGTCTCCTCAGGGGAGCTGGGGGCATCTGTGAACATCCTCAGCTCCTAAAGAGGGAGCAGTGCCATAGAGATAACTCCTCTGGCAGCGAGGGACTGTGTGTCCTGGACATGCCAGACTTGCAGCCACCTACAGTAGGGAAGTTTTTGTTACCCCTTCAGGCAGATTAAACACATGCTGGTTCTTAATTCATTAAAAAATATAAAGTAATGAACAATATCTTGGACAGAGCTCCACCACTGTGAGCAGTTCTACAAGGAGTCTGCAAAGATGTGTTTGGAGCTGATTCCTTATGTACACTGGCACTATCACCAATCCAATCCTGGGAGCGGTTCCATGGGGCACCTCAGTTTGGCATTGGGTCTATCTCCCAGCACCAATTCTGCTGCCCAAGGTGGCCACTGAGCATTCACATTCCAGGATTGTGACAAGACAGTACTGGGGCTGGTTTTACCTCATCCCCAAGGGAAAGTGCACTCCTTCACAGGGAGTCCTCCTGTTGCCGGTGTCCCGGCTGACAGCAACTTCAACCCGCTTCTGCATTTGGGCCTTTTGCCCCTCCATGCCTGATCATTCCTTGGTCACAAATTACCACTGCTGAGCAGTTACAGTTTGAATTTCCCCATCACTGCAAACATTGAGGCTGGGCAAGAGAGATGAGGCTGTGCTCATAAAGTGTCCTCCCTCTCACAAACTCAATTGTATGTGATGTTCTGTTATCCTCAAGTTTGAGTAAATTCTGGTATCTGTGATGTAATGTTTCCTGTCCAGAGGAACTTGGGCGTGTGCACTTATAAAGAGGCGTGTACAAATACAATTGTCTGATAAGCTCGTCTTGATGCAAACTATTGCAGCTAATGATATGGGCTGTGCTTTGGTTTCCAACACTGCTGCTTTTCATTTCCAGGTTTGGGCCATGCCCATTCCCCAGCGAAGGCTTCTTCTGAGCATGAAAGGCCTTGGGATTTCTCAGTCAGGAATGCAGCACTGCTGGCAGAAGACTCAGCTCAGTCTTAGAAGGGTCCCTAAAGGCCAGTGACATTAGCCTGGGTCACTCTGTTGGGTATATTTGAAGTGTGTTTCTGAGGAAGAAGTTCCAGCCATTCTCAGTGGGAAGGAAGCCCAAGGGTTACCGGGTCTGAGGACGTGCCATGAGCAGTCCATCTCTTTCCTTCCCTCCTCGGCTCACCCCAAAGCTCACTTGCTGCTGCCTGCCCAGGTTCATGCACTGTGCTGATAGGTTTTGACCCAATTCTGCCTAACACTGCCCTCAGGAAAAAATCGTGGTGCTGCTCAGAAGGGGCCGGGACTTGTTCTTTCTCTGTGCAGTCTGTGAGTACACATCAAAGCCATGGGCATGGTTGAGGCCTTGTCCCATCTGGCATGTCCTGCTGCAGTTGTCTCCAGCTGTCCTCAGCAGAGTCCAAGGTGCACGAGCCTCTGTGTGTGTCCTTGTGTGCCCTCATCAGGAGGGAATGTTCTGCTCACAGTGAGGACACCCTCCACTGCTCTCTCCATGAGCACCACAGAGCACAGGTTCCCAGGCTCAGAGGGAGCGTGAGTGCAGCTGAATGGTCGTGGCACCAGCCTGCTAGAGATCTGTCCAGGGAAGAGGCTCTGAAATGCAGCCCCTGCCTCGTGAGCAATCCTTTTCCTGCTCCTGCAAAGCTCGCCCTCCGTGGCTGCTGATTTCAGACCCCAATAAGGATGGTTTCACTCCAGCTTGGGTGCTGAGTGTAAGTCCGTGTAAAAAATTTGGGAATGCCTCAGCACGGCTGGCAGACTCCCCTCCCTCCGCTCAGCACGGACACAGCTGCTGTACCCTCCTGAAAGTTGTCTGCCTGGGATCAGGTCCACCTTGGACACAGTGCTGCTAAAGGCTTGTCTCCTTCCCCACAGTGACCTCTGGTGACATCGGTGCCAGGGAGCTCTGCAGGGAGGGGAGGAGCGGGGAGAAGAGGGGAGGGCAAGAGAGGAAGGGAGGAGGTAGAGAAGAGGAGGCGCCGCGGCGGGAGCC